TGTTATTTCGCTGTGTATGTGTTCTGCCAGTATTGCTTTTACTTCTAACATCTGTGCTGTGTCAGGAAGGGTTTTTTATATATAAAAAGGATGCTTAATGCTGCAGCATTTTAAAATAACCTTCAGTCACAAAAAGTGAAGTCAGCTTCATGTTTGTTTCATCAGTGGCAGCTCATTTCTTAACAAATTTCTGTCCTGCCAATCAAATGCACACAATTCAGACAAACAACACTCCCCATTTAATCCTTGTATGCTCCCAGTGTCACAAGAATGTGAATGGCATCTGAGCCCTGTCCACAGGAACACTTTCTGCCTCTTTCATAAGTCTGCGTGAAACCTCACGGGTGCCTTTTGGGACTGGTGGGCAAAAGCTCTTTTACTGGAGGAGATGGTTTCCAAAAAATGGTTCTGCCACAGATGATAATTCTGAACACCCACAAGAACTGCCTTTCCCAAGACAAGCCATCTAGCCCAGCTTCGTGTCTCCAGCCGGGAGAGCTAGATGCCAATTTCTAATAAAGCACCTAAATAGAGCAAAAAGCTGAAAGGAATCAAGACAGATGAAGAGACTTAAAAAATATTTCAGTTTTATAGCTCACCTTCTGAAATGGATAGCAACTCAAATATCAAATAAAAAAATACTGAACAATCCTGAACACAGAATTTTTACAGCACAAAAACACAGCTCTGCCATAGCAGCAATTACCAATAAACCATGGTTATCAGTATCTCTACAAATGAGTCTCAGATCAAGTCTAAAAAGCTATCTCTAGATGCCTGTCTCAGGCCTTTGAAGGTAAGAGTCCATTAAAGCCAGAAGACAGGAAGAGGACAAGGCTGAGGCTCACAAACAGCACCCAGGGACTTCCCCCACTGCCCACTCATTTATTAGAATATTTGTAAAGTTGTATCATTAAAAATGTCAGTGCTGTTTGCAGCAATAAAAAATAAAACCATAAAAATTTAAAAACAGACATCAATTAACCATTGTGGAATGATGTATTCCTAATTGCTGGCACAGGCCTGGCAGAATAGAAATCTTTTCAGCAGGCACTTAAAAAGGGCGGCATTAGAATACAACAGCCGCTTGTTAAACACATAATAAATGTCACAGCAAAGTGATGTTGTAACACCACCAACCAAGTGTGAGCTAAGCAGACTGCCTCAGATAGGGAGTTTCATAACCTTGGCATTGCTACCCTCTTGTGCTTTAAAACCAGGTGAATCTCTCATGATGGTGGAGCAAGGAGATGGCAGTGACCATTTTAAGAACATCCAATTGATGTGCAATCGTGGATGCAGGGGTCCTTTGGGACCCAGAAGAAGGTGCAACAGGGGCAGGGCATAACAGGGTGGGGCACGCTTACAGGCGCTCCGCGGACGCATGTGGGAGCCAGGAAAGGGGAGTTGGCCCTTAACTGTAGAGCGGGGGGGAGAGCCTGTGGCCCTCCAGATGCTGTCAGACTTCAACTCCCACAATTCCTACTTGCCATGTTGGCGGGGGTGACATCTGGAGGCCACAGGCTCCCCATCCCTGCCACAGAAGACTTTAAAAGTATCGCCTAGCACCTAGAACTGGGTCCAGATACGAATCGCAAAGGAAATGGGTGGGAAATGAATCTGCAATATTATAATACGAAATACTCGCCAAATGGCCATTTCCACCTTTAATCTGGGGAATGGTTTGTGTTAGCCCCCCCCCCCAAAAGCAAGCACATGTGTTTGAGTGTACAAGTCAAAACAGAAATTGTATACAAGCACAAACCTGAAATCTCCTCCCTCTCAGGCTACATACAGAAGCGTCATTACTCACTCCTGTCTCGCTTGGGCTAACCAGAGCAAGTAAGACACAAACAAACAATGCAAAATTCAGGCACTTTAACATTTTGTAGGTAGGTTATGTCTGCGGCGTCAAGCCTTTGGATTCCATTAATTGCTGCACCATGCAACTACATAGCTGGCCTGCCATGCACCTAAACACTGCACACATATTCCCAAGCGCCTAGTCTACTATTTTGTTTAACAAGTCAATTTAAAATAGTACAAGGCTACCATCACCTGCCATTGCTGGGCTGCTGTGGAGAATGTCTGGAATGGTCTGAAGGCTCTGACCTCTGGTCAGGAGATCGTGAACGACTGCGGCGGGGCCTGTCATGTGATCGGTTGGAATGATCGGATGCCAGCGACTGAATTTCTGAAATGTCTGTTAAATAAAAGTTGTTTTTTCCATGAAATGATTTATAAAAAATGATGACATGACCTGCCCAAAATGGATATAAGGTTTTGCAGAACTTATTATATGAAGTGTATTGGACCATCTACACCCCCCCCCCAAATCACTTGTACTGGCTAAATTTGCATATAATGCTAAGCCATGGTGCGGGCGTGTTTAACCATGGTTTCAACAAACCACAAGTTGCCTCACAGGCTTCCTTCTTCAAAGCTTTGTCTGCTTCCCAGCTGCTCTTGCCTGGTGCTTCTGTAGCTTGGCAAGCATCTGGTGTGGGATGGCCAGGGATACTATAGTTAAGTGAGACTGTTGCGTTAGAACGTAAATGCTAAACTGTAGTTAAAGTAAGTGACCACTCATAAGCCAACAACAAACCATGGCTTCACATTGTGGTTTGTTTGGCAGAAATCAGGCAATGGTGCGTCTGCTGGGCTGTGTTCAGATGTTCAAACAAGCCACTTGTTGGTGAAACAAACCATGGCTTTGCATTATGTGTGAACTATAATTCTACTTGTGCAATATTGAGAAACCACTGATATATATTTTTAAAGGCATGCAATTCTAATGACCAATGTTTGTACCAGCTCAAAAATCCACCCCATCTCCCTTGTCTAAATACACACTCCGAGTCTTGCTACATTTAACATTTTACATCTTTGTGGAACTGGAATATAACAACAACCCTGTTTCTACCTTTAAAGACAAGCAGATCCATACTCACCATCTCTTTCTGAAGCATTGACTGAGTGAATACTATCAGAAAGATCTGGGACATTCAGCAAAGTTGCTCGTTCATCCCTTTGAACCACCATCTTCAACTTGCCCTTTGACCTTTCTATTAGGGTCTTGGCATCTGTCAATGACATATTTTCTGTGACTGTTCCGTTTATCTGCAACAGAGCAAAAGGACTACTGATAGGAACCGAACAGAAAGTCAGCAGTTTCACCTTGATGGCAACTTTGAAGACTAGAGGGAAAGGAAGGAAGAGACAAGACAGACAGACAAAAGCTTGATTGCTCACTCTGGCTGTGGTGGCATTTGACCAAGTCATACTCAGAACAGACCCTTAGAAATAAATGAACTTAAGTCCACTGATGGGTATGCTTTGAACATGTCTTCATTGGATACCACACTACAGAAAGGCTGAGATGATGTGACTTGTGCTGGTTTGGAGGAGAGATGGGTGCAGTTTAAATACTCAATCTGGGGCACCAGCCAAAGGGTAGAAAACTACACACCTGGTTTATGGAAATCACAATCACGCTTTGAAGCTTAACATAATCATTGCATTTGAATACCTTAAAACACCTATAGAAGGAATTACTGTAATTGCGTGACTCGACACCAAAGGAATGGGAGAACCCACCCCAGTGCCATAATTATGTCAATGGGATTCAGAGATTTGTCAATGATTTACACTGAATAGTCAGCAAGGGACTAATATCCTCTGGCCAAGATGATTTAGCTCCTCAAGCTCTTGTCCAAAGCAAGGTTGCCTACAGGCAGTTCAGTCTTCCACATGTGGAACATCCCTACAAGGGCTTGGCAAATGGTACCCAAGACTAGCCTTTTGCTGCCATGACTTGGCAGACAATGACATTTTGCTATATACCAGCATTTGCCAAATGGGAAACCTCCAGGTGTTTTGGACTACAACTCCCATTGACCCCAGCCAGCACAGGAGCTTACATTCACTCTCTTTTTAATCTTCTGCTCCAGTGAATCAGGATTGGTCCCTTTAAAACCATCAAGTTACCAGGAAACCGGTTGTGTAAAATTGTTCTCTCCTTCATCAAACAAAAAGAAAACGAAAGGGGGGGGCACATTTACTGTACCTTCAGTACGACGTCACCTTCCTGAATATTGCCATCTCTTGCTGCCAGACTGTCTTGGGATATTTCTTTCACAAATATGTGGCTGGCTAAGCGCAATCCATATTCTGTTTCGAATAAAAAGAAAACAAATGCATACCTGTTGTTAACAAGCATTTTCAGGGTCCACCACCACTGCTCCCATAAATTCAATCTTTCTTGGCCCCAAGAATTCCCAAACGGTTTGCTGGGACACACAGAGAGCGCTGCCAGGAAATAAGATACAGTAAGTATGGCCTAATGTTTCCAAGTCAGCAGGCTGGAAGTGGTGACTCCTCTGTGCTGGAAGCGGGGTGGGGAAAGTCCTTCACAACACTGATTCCCTGCTCCTACCCTGTGCCCACATACGGGAAGAGTCAAGGATGTATTGGGGCTTCCTGATGCAGCCCACACTACAGCTAAAAGGTGGGGACCCCATAAGCATTGCTATGGCTCAGAAAGCATAAGCCCATACCTGACCTTAACTAAAAGCATGACCACCTGAGCTTTTCTGCAGGTGGCTTGTTTAGCCCATTAATGTTTTCTCAGACTGGCAGAGGTTCTCCAGGGTTTCAGGCACAGAAGCAGTGACATGCAGTGACATTTTTCATTGCAAAAGGGGGTTGGACTAGATGACCCTTGTGGTCCTTTCCAACTGTATGTTTCTAAGAGTCTCCATGCATACCTTGCAATTGGTACTGTGGGGATAGCACAACTGGCCTGCCTTACAAGGCTGCTGCACAGATTATGAGAATGTTTGCACCTGAGGCCCTTCATACACACAGTGTTGTGCTCTTTTTCATTCAGAAAGGCTCTCCCCATAAATGTGAACTCTCTAGTGGGCTTTCAGCTCCTTAAAATCCATTCAGGCTTTTCCAGCCATTGATAAAAGGCCTTCCCCCCTCAGCTTTCACCCCTCAATATGTGTGTGTGTGTGTGTGTGCGTGCGCGCGCACACACACACACACACACACACACACACACAACCGCGCCACTGCTTTTCTTCAAGTATTTCTTTGCCATTAGAATGTAATGTTTGTATTCAAAGAATGTCTTCCTTTGTTAAAAAGTGGGGGAGGATTTAAGCAACCTTTAGATTCCCAGTGGCTACAGACACAAAGAGCTCCTTGGGGACAGCAAAGAGCAATTGCCTGTCAACCTTCTCAATAAATGTAAAAACCTGGATGCTGGAGCCTTGCTGCCTCCTTGTGGGAAGGGGGCAGGAAAGCTCTTGGACCCCGAAGGAGCATTTCACCCCCCCCCCAAGGTGCTCGGCCTGAGATGGGCTGGGAGCACTAACCCTAACCTGCCTGCCTCCCTTGCAGAGCACACAAGCTGGTGAGCGCCCCACACCCCCACCAGGTTACCTCGTCTTTGGGGAGGAATAAGGAGGAAGGGGGGAGAATAAAGCGCCTCCGCAGCTGACAGACATGCACACTTGGCCATCCTTTTCACAGCGCCCATTGCTAAACAGGTCTCCTATGCTCCACCTGCCCTCTTGGATCCACCAAGTTGTGCCACACCTCGGCAGCGCATGCAGACAGAAGCATTTCCTCAACCAACTCTCTCCAACCAACTTTCTAACTAAAGTATACCATGCACAGTCTGGGAGTCATTTTGGATTCACAGCTGTCCATGGAGGCACAGGTCAATTCTGTGTCCAGGGCAGCTGTCTACCAGCTCCACCTGGTACGCAGGCTGAGACCCTCCCTGCCTGCAGACTGTCTCGCCAGAGTGGTGCATGCTCTGGTGATCTCCCAACTTGGACTACAGCCATGCGCTCTACGTGGGGCTACCTTTGAAGGTGATTCGGAAACTACAACTAATCCAGAATGTAGCTGCCAGACTGGTGACTGGGAGTGGCCGCTGGGACCATATAACACCGGTCCTGAAAGGGCTCCATTGGCTCCCAGTACATTTCCAAGCACAATTCAAAGTGTTGATGCTGACTTTTAAAGCCCTAAATGGCCTCGGCCCAGTACAGTGGTACCTCCGGTTAAGTACTTAATTTGTTCCGGAGGTCCGTTCTTAACCTGAAATGGTTCTTAACCTGAAGCACCACTTTAGCTAATGGGACCTCCTGCCGCCGTCGCGCTGCCGAAGCACGATTTCTGTTCTCATCCTGAAGCAAAGTTCTTAACCCGAGGTACTATTTCTGGGTTAGCGGAGTCTGTAACCTGAAGCGTATGTAACCTGAAACATATGTAACCCGAGGTACCACTGTATAATTGAAGGAGTATCTCCACCCCCATCATTCAGCCCAGACACTGAGGTCCAGCTCCGAGGGCCTTCTGGTGGTGGCCTTCTCCCTGCGAGAAGTGAAGCTACAGGGAACCAGGAAGAGGGCCTTCTTGGTAGTGGTGCCTGCCCTGTGGAATGCCCTCCTATCAGATGTCAAGGAAATAAACAACTATCTGACTTTTAGAAGACATCTGAAGGCAGCCCTGTTTAGGGAAGTTTTTAATGTTTGATGTTTCAGCGTGTTTTTAATATTTTCTTGGGAGCCACCCAGAGTGGCTGGGGAAACCCAGCCAGATGGGCAGGCTATGAATAATAAATTTATTATTATTATTATTATTATTATTATTATTATTATTATTTAGAAAGGAGGGAGAGGGGCTTGGTTGAAGAAACACTTCGCTCTATGCGTCTGCACACTGAGCTGTGAGGCTAGGCTACCAAATCTGCCCCTTTCCTCCCTGTGAGTCAGAAATCATTTCAGAGAAGACAGGGCCATCTCTCTAGGGCAGGGAACCTCCATGCTTTTTGGTTGCCTTGTCTTCTCCACCCACCAGCACTCTTTGGGGAAAATGAATCGACCAGCCACCCAAATACCTCACCTGAACCAAGGGGGTTAGGTGTGTAAAAAAGGTAAACACTTTAATACTCTAATTCACTGCCAGGAACATTGGGGACTAGGCTAGTCCCACTAGTCCAATGAGCACAGAAGGGTCTTTCCTGTCACTCTTCGCTGCTCCTTTTAACAGAGAGGTGATGGGGCTTGAACTGGGAGTTTCTGCTTGCTAAACAGGTGTTCCACCATTGAGCTATGATTCTATGTTCTGAAAGTTCATGTACGAAATATCTAACTCTTTGGTCATGTTTGCATGTAACAGTAAGCCAAACCATGGCTGACCATGAATGAGCAAGTGTGCTGGCGCACAGAAGCAAAACAGCAGCCCCTTTGCCCCTTTCTCTGTCCTGCTGCCGCCGCCATGCCACCAAAAATGAAGCCATGGTTTGGCTTAGTGTCATGCATGAATCTGAGCTTGTGATTTGTCTCCCCCCATGCTCCACACACAGCAAACGATAAGCAGTAAGCCAAGCAAAAGCCTGGTTGTTTGCACTGAGACAAACAATGGGTCCAACTTCACACATAATGCTAAGTCAAAGCATGGCTTAGTTCTTGCAATCATAGCAGCAGCTCAGCTGGGAGAGAAACAAAGCATGTCACATGATTTTTTGCTTCATGAACCAGCATGCTTGCTTCTTCATGTTAATTCACAGTTTGTTATGTTCAAACGAGGCCTTTAAGTAGGAGCTTGCAGGGCAGCAGTTGAAGAAGGAGCAAAACGGGTTTTCTTGTGTGTGTGTGTGTGTGTTTCTTTGTGGCTGATTAGCTGCTCTTCCTGTGCAAAGGTCAGAGGGGGCAGGGTTTCTGTTGAGGCAGGTGATTAGCTGTGGGAGGAGCTTATCAGAGCTTGCAGGGCAGCAGTTGAAGAAGGAGCAAAAAGGGTTTTCTTGTGTGTGTGTGTGTGTGTGTGTTTCTTTGTGGCTGATTAGCTGCTCTTCCTGTGCAAAGGTCAGAGGGGGCAGGGTTTCTGTTGAGGCAGGTGATTAGCTGTGGGAGGAGGTTATCAGAGCTTGCAGGGCAGCGGCGCACGCAGTTTCATCCATCTTTTAGATTTAGGGGAGCTAGTCTCAAACGTTTGTTGGGGGAGACCTAAGTTTTTTTGTGGGGGGAGTTATTTGTCCTGTCTTCACGCTTTTTATGATGGAGGACCGCTGTAGCCACCCCCAACAACACGTTCTCAAGATGGAGGGGGAGGGAACAGCTGCAGTCGCCTGCGGTTCCTGCGCAATGTTTGCCATCTTGCCAAAGGTTGCAGGCAGCTTTACCTGCAGCAATTGCATGTTGATTGCCCTCTTAAAAGACAAAGTCCAGCAACTGGAGGAACGTGTAGCTACGCTCCAAAGAATTAGAGAGCTGGAGCTCTTCTTGGAAGCAACAGAGCACACCGTCTCCACCAAGGAGGAGACAGGGGACTCCCCTGAGAAGGACGCTAGTTCACCAACACAGGAGCCAGATATATGGAGAAACGTGACTCAAAGAAGTAGGAGGCCCAGGGTTCGCTCTGATTGTTTAGAAATACACAATCGCTTTGAGGTCCTCTCCCCTAGCATGGCAGACGAAGAGCAGACTCCATTTGAGGATCTCTCCTCATTACAGTCGATCAGGTATATGAAGACGAGCAGCAAAGTCAGTCCTCAGGGAATGTGCAGGCGACCTTGGAACGGACAGCTCACGGAAGAACCCTGACCAAACCTAAGAGGAGGCGTGTAGTGGTGATAGGGGATTCCCTACTGAGGGGAACAGAAGCAGTGATCTGTGGGCCTGACAAGATGTCTCGGGAAGTGTGCTGTCTCCCCGGAGCTAAGATCCAAGATGTAACTGAACGACTGCAAGGAATCATAAAACCCACTGACAAATACCCCTTCCTCTTGGTTCATGTGGGAACCAATGACACTGCAAGCAATAGCCTCCAGAAGATCAAAAGAGACTACGAGGCTCTGGGCAGGAAATTGAAGCAATTAAATGCACAAATTGTCATCTCATCTGTCCTCCCAGTTGAACGACGTGGCCCAGGGAGAGAGGGAAAAATAGTGGAAGTGAACAGCTGGCTTCGCAAATGGTGTAAACAGGAACGGTTTGGATTCTTAGATCACGGACTGCAGTTTCTTGAAGACGGACTTCTGGCAAGCGATGGGCTGCACCTCACAATGGTTGGGAGGAATGTTTTTGCCAAAAATCTCAGAAACCTCATCAGGAGGGCTTTAAACTGACTAATGTGGGGGAGGGAGACAGTGCTCCTGAAGGTAGGAGTCTATCAATTGATGAAGATGATCATCCAAATGTCATAGACCAAATGGAGCAAACGGCACGCAGACCTAGTGGTGGGAGGAAAAATCCTTAAATAAGAGACACGGGGAATGATTAATGGACTTCAATGTCTGTACACTAATGCGCAAAGCATGGGAAATAAACAAGATGAGCTTGAGCTCTTGGTACAGCAAACTAAATATGACATAATAGGCATCACTGAAACCTGGTGGGATAAGTCCCACGATTGGAATGTAATAATGGGGGATACAATCTATTTCAGAGAAACAGACCAGACAAGAAAGGAGGAGGAGTGGCGTTATATGTCAGGGATGTGTATACTTGTGAAGAGATCCAAGATTTAGAACCTCAAAGCCAAAGTGAGAGCATTTGGGTCAAAATTAAGGGAGAGAAGAATAACAGTGACCTCATTGTGGGAGTTTACTATAGATCCCCAAGCCAAACGGAGGACATAGATGATGCCTTCCTGGAACAGATGGCCAAGCATGCAAAAGGAAGGGAGATAGTAGTAATGGGGGACTTCAATGACCCGGATATTTGTTGGATGTCAAACTCAGCCAAGAGCATAAGGTCAAACAGATTCCTCACTGGCCTTGCAGACAACTTCATTGTCCAGAAAGTGGGAGAAGCAACAAGAGGAACAGCCATTTTAGATCTGGTCCTAACTAATGTTGATGACCTGGTTAGTGGGGTAGAAGTGGAAGGATCATTAGGCGCGAGTGATCATGCTCTTCTGAAGTTTACTATACAGCGGAAAGGAGCAGCCAAGCATACTAGGACTCAATTTCTTGACTTTAAGAAAGCCGACTTCATAAAACTTAGGGAAGTGCTGGGTGAGATCCCATGGACAGTAATACTAAAAG